ACACATTTGTATGCGTTTACGTGCATTTACATGCATTTGTGATGTGCTTTTGGATACATTTGGTGCCAAGTCTTAACTTCAAACTGCATTTGCGTGCGTTGGTATGTTTGCATGCATTTTGGTGTGTTTGGGAGTTATAAATGGTTCCTGGATGCACTTGACTCCTGTTTTTTTCTGGGTGCAGCTGAACTGCGCATATGGGTGCATCTGGACGTGGAATGTGGATGCATCCATTGGAAACCATTGGTTACATATATTGGTTACATATATATGAATTTAGAAAACCAAATGGAAATATAGTTTTACATTTATATCCTGATCCTCGGTTTCTTTATCTATTTCTAGATGTTACGGATGGTTATATGCCAATATGTTTTTAAGTGTTCTAATATGTAAATCCAAGTTAATTGTGTCATTCAGCGATGTAGATCCAACCTTACTCCTGATAAAAAACACCCGTTTTTCTGGCGGCTGAGACAGAAAAACAGTGTGCCGCGATCGGCTCCGTGACCCCGGACTCTGTGCGTGTTAGCACCACTCTGTGGCTTGATAAAGAGGAAACCTCCTCGAAACGCGTAGCCGTATCCTGCAGGCATCAAGATCCAAAAACCCCCCCTAACAGATCCCGTACTGTCCTATCTCTGTGTACCCCGCTGACAGTCACACTGGAATAACACGCACAGAGTCCGGGGTCACGGAGCCGATCGCGGCACACTGTTTTTCTGTCTCAGCCGCCGCAGCTCAGCCTGGCCAGCTGAGCTTGTGACACCGGCTGACACTTCGTCCTCCCACTCCAGCCCGGGCTGACACCGACTCTCACCTCATCTGACAGCTGTGGACATCGGATTGGACAGATCCGGGAGAGCATCCTGTGAGAGACACCAGGGCACATAGGCTCGCATCTCAACTGTGAGTTACTATTTGTCCCTTTCCACATGACAATCCAGTTTAGGGTGTCTGTTATTTAAACTGTTATGTTTCTTCCGTAGCTTAGTACATTGGGTCCATTATTCTAATTATAGGTAGTTGCGCTCCTCAAGAAAAGTGTTTTTGTTTTGTCTATGACAGACCCCAGCTGGATTTTGGATGTTAACAAACTGGGCGAGGGTGCTGGCTGGTGTTATTGACCATACATGGTTATGAGAATACTCGGTCAATGATGTCACCCGGGATCCCCACCCCATTTATTTATAATGAGAAACAAGCCAGCAAGTGAGAAGTTGGAGGTTCAGGTTGATGAACTGGCTAAATATGGACATTTAGTTTGCCTGTTTGATGAACTGCAAACACGCTGGGTTCAGGTTAAACTCACGGTCAACCTGAACCCAAAGTCAAATCCCATCAGAAAAAGAGAGCACCATTTTTTATTTTCTCTAATTTTCATACTTAAACCACAAGTCAAAAGAATACCTCCAATGGGAACACAAATAGCATTAAAGGCATTTTGTAGTGTGTGGAAACTCTTCAATGTTTAATTGCTGTCTGGGTTTCCATTGGTAAGATTTTGCTCCTCCTGTTGTGTCGCCTTGGCATTTGTCGGGATGTCTCCAATGAGTGCATAGAAAACACTTTCAATTAATAAGTAGGAAAAGGCTAGAATTTCTGCCGGATATTAATATTGCTGCCTTGGTCCATCACTGCCTGTTATGTCAAATAGAGATGAGGGATGAGAACCTCTCTCAATTTAGTTTGCTGTCTGTGTTCCAGTTAGTGAAATTCACTTTCTCAATTTTTCTTGGTGACCATTATCAATGGAAATAAAAGTG